GGGACGACGTGTTAGCAGAGCAGCCGCAGCTGCTCCTGCTGCAAAAGCTTTGCRGAGAGACGCGGAATGCCGGGGAACATCCTTCATCCCCTGCCGCCCTCCCTCCTCTTCCTCCTCTGGGCACATCCCTCGCGCTGGCAGCACGTTGAGAGTCGCATTGGTCCTGGTGTGCAATGGGATGAAGCGGGAGATGGGAAGTCACCCAGGGGCCTCGCCGCACTTTCCCCAAGCGGCTCCCTTTTAATTAGCGAGGACGCCGCTCCCGGCCGGTGCTCGGTGACGTCCTCGGAGCGGCAGAGCCCAGCCCGGCGCTTCCCGGCGCCGGAGCGGCTGCCATGGGAACAGCTCCCGTGGGAGCACAAGCCAGCGGCAGCGCYGGGGCTGAGCAGGGGCAGAGGTGCCACCCCGGCCGTCCCACCGCCCTGAGGCCAGCAGTCCATGCACAGCGAGAGCAGGCGTCCGGGGTGACGGCCCCGCTGAGATCCCCTCAAAATCCCCCCGCTCCCGTGCATTGGTTCTTGGAACGGGATTAATTTCTTAATCAGAGTGATGTAGGACATGATCAGAAGCAATTAAAGGCTGGCAGACTAATTAACGTCAATCAGCGCAGTTTATGGGCACTGGCCTTGTCAATCAAAGCTGGTGCTGCGTGTTGGCAAGGTTGCCGCTCGGTTCCCCGAGCTAATACTTCGGAGAGAGCTTTTCCGTTCTGGGATGCTCATTAAAATAGCACGAGTCCTTCAGGAGCCAGTTAAAGGACATATTTAAAAGTTTATAGGCGCTGGCAGCCGCAGAGAGGCACTTTGCTAAGCTGTGCTGCTACGAGGTGCCTACCAGAGCACTGGAGTTGTTTAATTTTACCCTTTCYGAGTGGCAAAATGAGAACAAGATGCCCCAGCTGCTCAGAACCGATTGCCTCCCTGCTCTGCAATGCTTTATGGCCGGGCAGCACCAGCCCACAGAGAGCTGATGTCGTGGGCAAGCGTGGAGACCACAGCCATTACCCCRACACCGAGGGATTTTTAAGACCCACTTTAATTTTCCCGGTGCAACATTATGTATTAGCGCTGCGGTGACAGATTCCTTGCCTGGCTGTTGCTCGGAGGCATACATTTTGTCTAAGCAAATGCTTAATTGCTCCTYGTTGGACACTAGTCACGGGACATTAGGCGTCGATAAAAGCGGCTTCTCGGAGCTGGGACTGAGCAGAGTTSCCAGCTCAGCGCCGTGGTTACGGCCACAGGACAGACGCTTCTGTCGCTTGTTCTGGTGTGGGTGCTGTAGCCGGTAGCCCTCTCACAGCACCCAGGGCCAGTGACTCTGAGGGTGCCGATGCTGGAGGCACATTTGGCCCCTATAGCTCCGACCAGCTGCTGCACAAAACCCACAGACAACGGAAGAAACCTAAAAATCCCTCGCAAGGAGCAAGCTCCTCATGCTATTTCCATGCTATTTCCATGCTATTTCCACACTTGGCTCAAGTCACCCTTTTTTGCCTCCCTGCCCGGTGTTTTGCAGCGCTGTCCTGCACGAGCCCAAGGGCTGCAAGGCTTGCAGGGCGGCGATGGTGCAGGGCATGCACGAGCTGCCGCAGCCTGCARCAATGCAGACGGGGCAAAGCTCTCACCACGCAAGCTCCAAAGCAAGGGATCCCAGGAGGGCATCAGGAGGGAAGGTTTTTTGTGAATTTACTCTTTATTCGGCACTTGAGGCCCTCCCCGTATAGCTCTCCTCCTGCTTATTGCCCATTCCCCTGTGTGCTGGGCTCTGCAGGTAAAGATTTACGCCATTTCAGGTGCCAGCCTCAGCAGAGAGATTAATGAGAGATAATTTCTTACAAAGAGGTTTATTGAGTACTCAGAGTTCATTCGCCAGCTGTGAAGTGGAACATCTGAAGACATTTGTGGAATACTAAGTCCTGCCTGGCGCCRGCCCAAGACAGGCACACAATGCCTCTCTCTGCTCTAGGTGCTGGTTCTGCCGGGCGGAACGAGCCTGGCGGGCTGAGCCGAGATGGGATTTTATTAGATCTCAGCCCCCCAGCACCAGGTGGGGGTGCAAAGTTGYGCCTGGTTTGCTCAAGGTGCTGCAATCGCCTCCTCGTGAGCAAGCGGAGCGCGTCAGGGCTGCCCGCTCGCTTCGGCAAGGCCTGGGAAAGGGAGCGGGGATGGAGCTCTTCCACCGCCATCCTAGGTTTCCTTCATGGCTTCYGGCTCCCTCCGAGGGATGTCGCTGCTCTTGCTTTGGAGGAAATCGGCTGCAATTAGGAAATCATCTTGGTGAAGAATCAACCCATTAGGGAGCGGGCAGGTGACTGCACACGGGCCCCCAGGGCGCACATTTGTATGCAAATATTGGCGTCAGGGAGCTAATTATCCTCTTCTGTTGTCCCAAGTACATTTCTAATGGTGCCCACGGATCATTCCACTAATTTTTTATCTCCTTTGGACTTAGTGTGCCATGCCCATAATGTCTCTGCATTTCCACACAGACACGGAGGGCACAGCTGGGAACAGCTGATGGGGAAACCCACATSTGCAAAAACAGATTTCTGAAGATTTACCATTTTTCCTCAGCATCTTCTAGTCAATTCTCTTTTGAGCCGCAGGCTCAGGTCTTCTCTTGAAGAAAAAACAGCAATGAGGGATCCGGGCATCATCCGAGCTTTGTTATTTCTCTGCACTTTCCTGCTGCGGGGATGCGTTTGCAAATGCCGCCTGCGCACATAAAACGCTCCAGCACCTGGGAATCTCACTTGAAAACAAACAACAATACTGGTTGTTCCCTTTGAACGGGTTTGTCTTCCAACAAGTGTAGAAAAAGGGCAATCAATATACCTTGCCAGGGCCTTTTCAGCACTTCCTGAGCCGTTATGGTCATAACGTTGCTTCAGGCTGCCGTGATCAATACATTTGAGGCACTGAACGTGTCAAAACCACATAAAATCTTTATTAAGGTGAAATTAAATGAGCACGCACAAATCAGTCGCTTAAATGGATATTGTCCTTCATGGACAGCAGAGCKGAAAAGCAGGCTTCAATTAAAAATCCAGAGCAGTCAAAGCCAGGATTAAAACCGCGGGAAGCTCCAAATGTCCATACAGCAGAGCAGGACCACACAGACACGCCAGCTCTGTTCAGCTGCGAGCTCCCGTTTTGGGGAACAAACCTCTGGTTTGGAAGTGGATGGGTTCAGCCCAGCATTTCAGCTCTGCTTGGGCAGTGATCTCAGCTTGTTTGCCAACAGGGAAGGTCATGGCATCGTCAATCCATTCCAATCAGGAGCTCCCATCCATGCTTGCACCCTTCAGATGGACACAGGCACCATCCCAGGGGTCTGCAGAGCAGCAGCTGCAGCACGGAGACGTTGGGGATGGTGGAAAGCCACTAGCTTTGTTGCAAAAGGCGATGCTATCCAACATCCTTGCGYGTTTTCCCCTGGCAGGCTGGGAATTTCCACTCTTTCCACCACATTTTTGCTGCATTTCTCTCGCTTCGGGAGGTTTATACCTCCTAGCTTGCCAGGAGGATTGCTCGCTGTGCAGGGGAACCGTTTGCCAACGCACCTCCTCAGCGGAAAGCCAAAAAATTGCTTGGTTCCAGCCTATTTAATTTTAATTGTTTCCTTTAGTTCTCCTTACACGCAGCGAAACGGCACCTTCTAACACAGGGCTGAGATGGGAGCAGTTGCCCCGTGCATCCAGCCCMCTGATCCACGCAGGCTGGTGGAGCCCTGGGACTTGTGTGTCCAGCTCCTGCCCTTGGCACATGTTGCACCCCAAGCTGTCGGTGCCCAAAAGCACACCAAAACCGGCATCCCGAGCAGCCTTGGGACTCACCAGCTGCAGAACCAGAGGATGGACACCTGCATTCAGGCCCCAGGCACTGATATTGAGCACCTGCAGGTTTGTCTTTCTCCTTGGGATGAGCTGTAAAATAAAGGCTCATAAATTAATTACCTAGAAGAGTGACAGAACGCTGTTAGGTACTTGGGAGTTAATTGCAGGGATGCTAATCGCATGTAGTTCAACAGCACCAGCAGAGATGCAAGACGCACTTCCATAGGCATTCCGTAACAATTCAGCAATTTAATTAATTTCTGCTAAAACCTTGTAAATCACCTTTTCTCTCCAAGAGAGAGGAGGCAGAAACTTTTCCAGCCGGCTGTCCAGATCCTGATCTCTTGCAAACTTACTTCTGCTGGCAAAGATACCAGTTTGCTTCTCCGTGGGCTCCTGGTGGGCAGAGAAACCCCCGCAGAGCTGTCCCTGCGAAGCACGGCGGCCAAGAGAGCTTGACAGGGACGTGATGGGCTGCTCCTAAATTTGGAAGGCTGGCTCGGGCTGTGTGAAATGTTTTGGACAGATCATGATGGGCTGAAAAGATAGAGACTGAAGTGATTTGTGGATTTAGGTCAGCTTCAGGAAGCTCAGCCAGAAGAAGATAYGGGAGAAAAATTTAGAATACAGCAAGTGGCTTATTCCAGTCTCTCAAAGTAAAATGTTAGATTTAGAAGAAGCAAACTCACCTACTTTGGTATGCTTGAAATTAAGTTCTTCTGCTTGCCTCCTTTTGAATTTCCACCCCCACCACCTTTTTTTAAAAATAAAATGGAAAGAATCTGCCAAGAATCAACTTTCTCCAGACTCACCTGCTTCCTTACACGATATGCAGGACCAGCAACCCCCAGCAGGTACCCAAGGAGCCGGCCTCTTCTGGCCATGTGCTGCTGCCCTCCCTCAATCCCTCCCTCYGGCTCCCCACCAGAGCAAAGACCATGAAAAGCCATCGTTCTCATGGGGCTTTTATTGGCCATCTGGCCCTCGCCTGCGGCCAGCAGGTCAGCCAAGCACCACGTGCCACGCGGACGAGAGCGGAGCAGATCTGTACATAGCGCCGAGCCCCAYGCCCTGGGCGGCACATCCCTCCTGGGCAATTTTTTTATGATTTTCTTCTTTTTTTTTTTCTCTGAAATATTTTATTTAAAAAATATAGTAGCTGTGGAAAGCAGCCCTCTTTATAAATGCTCGATGCTGGAGTGAAACGCATCGCCGCCATCCTTGTAACTAAGCTCTCCTTGGGACCTGTCGGTGCCGGTGGCCGTGCCAAGAAGGTTTGCAACACCAGGGAAAGAGAACGAGAGACCCTTCCAAAAATAGAAATATTGTGCTGAGTTGTTCAAAGTGAAGGAAATACATAAAACACCAGCATTAGATTAGCTCCAGCTTGTCCGATATTAGTGCCGGCAGAGCTGGAGCCCCTGGCGCGCACCACCGGCCCCCGAGGGCGAGGAGCTGGGCTAGCCCTCCCGGCGCTGCTCTCCGCCCCTAACCACAACCAGCCCCTGGGCACAGGAGACCGGATAAATAGGAAAGTGTAAACACAACCATTCCGAGTAAGAGACACCGACAATCACAGCATTTGACTGGTTCAGCCGCACCACCCTCYGTCCCACCCACCCACCCCAACCCTGCTCCATAAAAACAGTCTCCAGTAAGAAAATCTTCATTCCAGACTCAGAGCAAAGGGGAGACGCTCGAGGAGTAAAAAGGGACATTGCAACGTTAGCGGTCCTTGCTTGGGAAGGGAGAAGTTGGTGGAAAAAGGGAGGGAGGGAGAGGATTAGCTGGTTCAGGTCCCTTGCAAGTTCATTTGGTTTGTCTGGAGGACTCCTAGGGCTATACCTGAGATGAAGARGTCTAGGGGACGCTCCGTAGCTCAATTAAAACATGGTCCGTGGTTTGTGCCTCGAAGAGCCCWCACTGCCGGGATCTGTGGGTCACGCTCGCCCCGCACAGCGGCAGAGCTGCTATCCTGGGGCTATCTGAACCAAGGCTGGCTGTGGGGCAGGCCATCATGTGTCGAGGATCTCGCTGGTGGGTGAGGGCTCGTGGGGGATGCCCTGCGCGCTGTGCATGGTCTGGTTGTGGGACAGGGAGTTCTGCTGGAGCTCCAGGGCGATGGCGTTCTGGGGGAACTCCTTCACCTGCCGCTTGTACTCGAGGAACGTGCACGCCTTGGTGGCTATCGCAATGATGTTCTTGCCAATAAAGATGGTGGAGACCCTGCTGTCTTGGAACAAGACCATGTTGATGGCCCGGATGAAAATGGTGACAATGTTAATGGTGACCAAGCTGAGGACGGGATASAGCATCATTTTCTGTGGGGCGATGTGCTCCCCTTGCATGCTGATCTCACTGAGGGACACGCAAGGCAGGATCAGGAGCAGTATGTAGCAGTAGAAGAACATGAGCCCCTCTGCCCAGATGGGCAGGCCAGTCCTGTGTGGCTCCCACAGGTTGGCCTGGATGTCCAAGATATCCAGCAGATCGAGGGCCACCCAGAAGAGACGCCCCCGTAGGTCCTCTTTCTTCCGAAAGGTCCGTATGTACTCCATACTGTCCAAGGCCACCAGCACCAAGTAAAGTCCCGGCACACAGATGGAGAGCAGCAAGGTCAGGGCTTTCCTGGCCACCGTCTCCAGGTTCTTCTTGTCAGCTTTGTAGTTCTGGAAGATGAAGTAGAGCTTGATCTCCAGCACAAAGATGTACAGGAACCAAAGGATCATGGCRTAGCCCCGCTTGGCGGTCTTCACCTCTGCCCCAACCCACACGGCCACGTAGCGCAGCACGATGAGGAAGCAGATGTCCCCCACCAGCACAATGATGCAGACACCGATCTTGCGGGGCCCCTGGTTCTGCTCCACCAGGTAGGCATCCATGAAGGCCATGCTGGTCATGATGACGATGGTGGTGAGACACACGTGGCGCTTGTCAGGTGGCGGCAGCACCATGGTGGGACGAGCGGGCCGCCTCCCGCGCAGCTTCAAGCGCTGGCCTGCGCTAGGGGAGCAGTCCCAGCATCAGCCACGAGCCCTTGGAGGACCGAGGGCTGCTCCCTTGGTGGATCGGTGCAGCAGGTTGGCCAGCAGCCCCTGCTCTCCAGAGGCTCCTCAGCTKCCTCCGCAGGCTCTATTCCTCGCGCTGCCCGCTCCGGAGGCCGCAGGGACAGCTTGCCCAGCCCTGTAAGCGACGTGGCTCTCCCACAACTGCCTCGGGCCGGTCAGCCTCCAGGGAGGCCACAGGAGCCTCCTTACAGCAGCCTCCTCTGTGAATGGTGCTCCACCACCGGCAGCCTGAGGAAGAGGACTCTCTTCTCCACCACAATCCCACAGCACAAGGGCCCTTCCAGGACGCCAAGTCCTTGCCCAGATCCCCAACAACCCAACGCAGGCAGACGGTCCAGGAATGGCTGCCCTCTTCCCAGCAGGAACCCAAACTCCTCCCGGGCGCCCGGGGCTCTCCGTGTGGCCTCACGGCTCCTGTCACTGCGTGCCAGCACCATGCCCATGCCGAGCAGCGCGGGCCCTGTCTGTCACCCGCCGTGTGCTCCTCCTCTCCATCGTGCTGTCCTGCAAAAGAGCACAGAGAGAAGGTATTAGGGTCCCTCCAGCACAGGTCCACAGGGATGGATGTCCTCCCCACCCCAAGCTCCTCCACACAGGGACTACAAGATGAAGACACAAAGATGCACCCCCAGCAGCACTGGAACAAGACTCAGATCTGCTAGGGAAGAGGAAGAGGCTGCAGAGGAAATAAGCAGCAGAACCAATTAGCAAAGGCAGCTGTGTTGGAGCAACCACGAGCTGCACCTGCACGGGGACTCCGGTGACGGGGCACCTGCGCCTCGTCCCTGGGGCTGCGGCAGGAGGGGACGCGGCACCCGCACGCGTGAGCGGTGGCACCTGCACGCGTTCACGGGTTGCTCAGCAGCTGAGCAGGAGGCCGAGCCRCCTTTTAGTGCCGCAATTTGCTCCTGCTTGAGGCTGCAGATAAAAATATATAGTCATTGCTGTAACTGCCTTTAAACTCGTGCCAAGTTTTACAGGGGATTTATGGCCAAGGACGGATAATTCCAGATAAATTAGGTCTTTCAAGAGGGAATGCTGTTTTTCCTTTCTCCTCTTTATGTATTTCTTCTTTCAAAAGGCGACGGTTATTTAGAGGGCAGTAGGTGTATCGGGGAGCATCTCGGCACGCCGTGGTCCTCATGGAGATGCTGGCTTGTAACTCACGCTCCTCGAGCCCTGCACCTTCTTGGCTTAATCCCTGCCTTGGCCTCTTGCAAATACTTGCCACATCGCCAGCCCTCTCTCTTATTTTTCACTTGGGTGGTGGTTGGTATTTTCTACACCTCTTGGAGTCCCGTCGCTATATGCATTTCAGATACACACACGTATATATATATATAAAACACTACACATTTCAGTTTTACAGAAAGGTCTCTACCCATCTGTGGAGAAAAGCTGGCCCGTTTGAATGATGTGCAACTATCCCTGCAGATAAAAATCTCCTTGGAGTGCTATTAAAGAAAAAGCACATATTTTTAAAGCAGCTATTATTCTGGGAAGCCCCGATTCGCAGTTTTTAAAGACGGCGCTTGACAGTACATGCAGCAACTGCTCAAGAAACTTGCTGGATAAACAAGCAAACGAGCTCATCAGATAGCCGCGAGAACACCCCCGAGGCAAATATTTGTTTAGACAGGGATTTGCCAAGCTCTCGGTTCCTGGGGGAGTGCTTGTAAATAAGGCAGAGCTCCCCGGGACGCGAGGAGCGTGTGGGATGCTCAGGACGCAGCGGGCGGCCGATGCCTCCTTGCTGCCCAGCGCCCCGCTGACTATCCAAGGACGTGGCGCTTCAGCAACCACCCCGCCAGCGCAGGAGAGAATGGATCCGGSTTTTCCCGCGGGAAGCCGATGCCTCATTGCGGAGTGATTAATTACCCCCAGCTCGGCCGCTACCSTCCTCCCCTGGCTCCCCGATGCCGCTTATCCAGCCTTGCACCCGTGCCGCTGGCAACCCCAGCGCTACCTGGCAGGCGGGCTTAGGTTATCCGAGTGGTTTCAAGCCTGCCTATAAATAAAAGAGGGGTCGAGCGAGGCGAAACGCGTACGCAACACGCTCCCCGGCTAGCTGCGGTGCCGCATTGCTTAAAGCTTCATTTACACTTTAATTGCTTTGATTTATTTCAGCCTTCCTGGATATAAATCTGGCGCTCCCCTTCACTTAGTCCTTCCCAAGAGCTCCGCACCGTCCTTCCCAAGGCGCTTCCTCCAACCTGCTGTCAAGTTGCTGCTCCGAGAGCTCTAGCCGCCGGAGCTGGGCAGATGCCGCAGCGCAGTCCTCTGCCCTTGCTGCCTGCCATGCCCAYGCTCATGTGATGCTTCAAGTCAGTGACCTCTTTATGGCCAGGCCACCGCTCACCATGATGCCCAAGGCTTTTGCTTTTTGCAACACACGGAGGTATCTGCAAGCTCCAGGCACCACGCAGGCACTGAGTGTCAAGGGAGAAATCCCATCTCCTCGGCAGCAGCATCGGCATCTCGAGTGCATCCTGCCAAGGAAATGAGCCCAAGGAGGATTTTCCGGACTCTGCCCACTAATTGCGCCTGGAGGAGGAAACAGCCCACGCGCTAACCATGACGGACTGTTCACCCTGCAGGCACAGCAAACCCAGGGGGAAATGCTGCAAATTGCTCCAAGGACCTGCCCAAAAAGATCCGTGCAGGCAAAGTGTTTGGGAAGAGAGGCCTCAGGCATCTTCCCAAAAGGCCTTTGGAGAAATGGGACAGCATACCCCTAGTTACTCTAGCAGCTTTGCTTCTGCTCCCCTTCTCAAGGAGAACCCCAAAATGAAAGGACCAGACTCACCGCATGTCCAAAAGGAAAGGACAAAGTCTCTCCATCCCCTTGCTTGGGCACCRGAGCACATTGCAGCCACAGGGCCAGGGCAGACCTGTGGCCTTGGGGTCATTCATGCACCCGGTCAGGTCCTCGGGGGCCCTCGTGGTCCCAGGGACATCTCCTCATTTGACAACCTGCTCATTTGGATGAAGCTTGACAGCCACGACAAAGAATTCTGGCATTTTGGGTGTTGAAACACAGCGTTCAGAGAAAGTAAATGATTCATTTTCATTTGTATGTGTAGTGTTGAAATTATAACACGGTGTTTTGACACCATCAAAACAATTCCCTGTTTTCCCAGGGAAACACGCGGTTTCTCTCGAGGAAGCGGTTAGCACTGCTTAGCCAGGGGAATCTGCAAGGCGGCAGSGGGGCCTGGCTCCTCCATGGCCAGAGCCCGTTGTCCCCCTCTCCGTCCCTCTCCACCAGCCTCTTCCTCACACGGGGAAAGGCTCCATGTTACTCTTGGCTGAAGACACAGCAACCTACGCTGGAGGAGCTTGCCGGGACAAAATCCAAAGTTTTGCTTCTTGTTTCACTTAGAAATAGGGATAAACCAACAGAGGCCAGTGGCTTGAAGCCTCGACCCAACTCCTGCAGCTCAAGGCTGCTCTTTTGTGCATGAGCCAGGGCTCAGACAAGCCCTGTGACTGCGACCCTCTGCTCTCAGTGCCTTACTCCATGGCCCAGCACATGGTCAGGGCTGACGGGACAGTGACCTTGGCAGGAGAGCAGCCACTCTCTGCTCCCTTGAGCCCGGACAGACCTTGGGGCTGGCAGGAAGGTGGCACCAGGCGGGCAAGGGAGCTGGGACCCGGTGCCTTCGCTGAACGCTGTTTTGGGCACCCGCGTTTGGCTCTGCCCAGCAATGGCTTTGGGCAGGCGCCGTGCTGGGAAGCAACGAGCAAGGTGGACAGGCAGCAGCAAACCCCCTGCATGGAGAAACCTCCTCGTCTCTCCTCAAGTTCATGGAGAGGACGTAGCTCCAGAGCCCTGAGGTGCGGAGGGATCTCCGCAGGTCTCCGAGACACTTGGGTTTTGTGACAGGTCACCTTTTCCTCCAAGTGCAGAACCTCATTCTAAAAGTAGGAGATGGAGAGCAAGCGAGTGACTTGCAAAACCAAGGGGATTTTGCGTTGCCATGCACTTAGTGAATTCGTTTTGGCACGGCCGCTCCAATATTCATTATGAAGGCAAGAGGTCCCCGCCAGTCACCGGCAGACCTGAGCAGAAGCAGCAGCCCCCACGGTGCCTCCCCGGGCAGAGAGTTTGTCTGCTCCTAAACCCCGGCTGAGTCACGGCAGGGCTCGCTGGTGCCGCCGAGCGGGAGCTGCGACTGGGCATCGTTCCCGTCCCGTGCGGACGCACCGGGACCGCGGCGCCGCAGGAGACCGGCAGCTCCCCGACCTGGGGTCGTTCCTCTAGGACATCAGCCCTGCGCCCATCTCAAGAAACCACAAGAAAAATAACCCCAGCCCGGAGGTCGCCAAGGAGACGTTTCTCTTCCTCCGCTTTCCAGCCTTCCTTCTAATAAATCTAATAAAATCTGTCTTGCTGGTGTCTAATTCAATTCCAGCATCCAGAGACCAGACTCCTTATATCACTCACAGACCTAACCAGCTCCATGCTCGGCGTACGAGCCCGGCCGAGGGGCTGCTGCGAGGTCTTCTGCAAGAGAGCAATTACCCGGGGTCAGAGCTCGCTCACCCAATCAATCACACGAGCACGGGGGTTTCGGGGGGTCGTGTCAGATTCGTTCACTGAGATGCTTGACCATCACGGTCAGAAGCAGCTGGTGACATCCGGGCTGGCATCTGGGCACTCAATGAGGTGCCCTGCGTTTTGTTCCGAGGTGACCTCTCCACGACACGTCCCGCCGGCGCCCTCAAGCAGCACGAGAGCCGGCTCGGGAGCAGCGTGCGGATACGCTCCCGGGAGCAGCGTGCGGATACGCTCCCCGTTGGGCTCTGGGCTCCTGCTCCCAGGGCGAGGGATGTCCCCGGGAGGCATGGAGGAGGGGACAACTTGCAGTGCCGGAGCTCATTGCCAAGGAGATAAAATATTTATGGCTGCTCTCCCGCGTTTCCCTTTCCAGCCGTGGTGACTTATTTGTTGCAAATCTACATGAATGTTTAAAGGCGTCTTTACATTCCTCCAAGTACAAAAGGTTTATTTCCCCGTGTAGCGTTTTGCCGGTTGGAAGAAGCCGCCCCGTCTCTCCCGTGCCTGCGTTTGCCCCCGTCCTCAGCGCGCACTTTCCTCTCAGTAACGATTATCATTCTGCTAAGAAAAATGGGTCATTTAGAGCAGTCTCTCCCCAAATAAAAGGCGATGGGATACAGGATATCATTAAAATTCTGAAGCTGACTTCCCGCCTCGGGAACAGGCTCTTGGTATTTGCGTATCTTCACGGAGAGAGGGAGGGAGGGAAGGAGAGGGGGAGGAGGGAGCCGGTCCAGCCGGACGGAGACGAAGGCTCTGCGCTGCGAGGGGCGTCTTCACACCAAACCGGGGAC